TATTTTGCAGGTTTTTACGTAGTTATAAAAGTCTGAAATATATAAAGAAAATAATAAAGGGTCTAATATGGACCCTTGTGGTACACCCATTGTAATCATTCTTTTGTCAGAAGATGAAGAGTTTACCGATACGTATTGGTACCTACTAGTTAAGTAGTCCCTTATTAAATTTACCGCATTATCTGCAAATCCAAAGTACTTCAGCTTCATGCACAATATATTATGATCTAGGGTATCAAAGGCTTTACTAAAGTCCAAGAGAATTAAACACATAACATTACCTTTGTCAAGTGATTTGTAGAAGTCATCAACTATACATGCCAGTGCAGTTGTCGTATCATGTTGGGCTCGAAATCCAGATTGGATCGGTGGTATAATTTTGTTTGTCATAACAAATTCCGAGATTTGCTGCCTTATGACCATTTCCAATAATTTGGAGAGTCTTGGTAAAATACTGATTGGTCTCAGATCTTTAATATCTTCTATTACAGATACCTTGGGAATTGGGATGATTTTTGAAATCTTCCACGCTTCTGGAAAAACGGAGTTTAATAAACAAAAATTAATAATATAGGTAATGTGGTACAGTAGATGATCCTCAAAAATATATAGCATTTTCTTGGAAATACCATCATGTCCTGCTGTATCACATTTAATGCTTCTTATGTTTTTTGAAATTAATGCAGCATCTACTGAAGTGAAAGAAAACAAGTTGTTACTGCGAGGTTCTTTGTATGCATTTAACAAATCTAGTTGAGACTGAGTTCTATGAACTTTGGGTAGATTTGAAAAGTAAGCATTTATTGTATCTGGATTAGAAAGGTGTTGAGGAATGGAAATTGTACTGCTTTTCACAACTCCTATTTGACGTAGCCGATGCCAAGTCATTTTTATATTTCTCTGTTTCATAGAAAATTCAATATAAGCTTTCTGCTCACGCTGTATGGCCCCTTTTGTATAATTTCTGAGTTCCTTATAATAGTCCCAGTGAGAAGGTTGACGACTTATTTTGAACTTACAAAAAGCTTTGTCGCGCAATTTCATTAGAAGCTTTATATTATCCGTGATCCAAGGTGAGAAGTTTCTGGTGACTCTAAATTCATATACAGGACAACACATATCGAAAAGACGTATTAATTCTCTAGTTAAGAATTCGACCATTAAATTGACATTGTTGAAGGTATAAATTGTATCCCAATTAATAAAATGCAGCATATTATTAAAAAATTCATCATTGAAATGCTTCCAGGAGCGGGCCTTAATGACTCTTGGCGGATTTGAAATCAAGTTTTTCTCAAAGATGTGGCACGAAACTAAAAAATGATCAAATGTATCATGCAGGCTTAGAGCTTCATGGAAACTAATATTTAACGTTTCACTAACTATAATAAGGTCTAACAATGTCTGTGAGGTAGGAGTTATTCTAGTAGGGACATCGACTATTTGTTTCAAGTTATATAAATCAAACAATTTATTCAATTTCTGAACAGCTGTGCCTTGCTTGAGAAAATCGATATTGAAGTCTCCAGTAATACAAATTTCTTCACAGCTAGAAATCATTTGGAAAAGGGACTCATCCATAGCATTGAGAAATTCAGTGATATTGCCTTTAGGAGGCCTATAAATGACACCAAAAATGTGTACCTTGCCATATAGTTTAGTGTGTATCCGTAACTGCTCCAAATCCTGATTACTACTTTTATGTAACGTAAAATATTTAATGTTATTTTTCACATAGAACAATAAACCTCCTCCCCTGCTGTCTCTGTCTACCCTCTCTACCTCATAATTATTCACTCCTATAGCATCAGAGCTGATATTCCTAGACAGCCATGTTTCTGAAACACCTAAAACATTTACATCAGAAGTTAAAATGTATTTTTTTAATGTTTCTAGTCCAGAAAATATAGATCGAACATTTAAATGTGAGAACAGCATCGCATAAAAAAGAAAATCAGTAAGACATGTTTGATACCAATGAAATCAAAGAAAGATACTACACATTTCTAAGATATACAGATAAAACAACTAGTGATGATTGAACATGATTAAGAAATCCAGATAGATCAGTAGCGTCACAACACTTAAATTATCACACTTCAAATAAAAGTCGCCGTATTTCACTCAATTATACTTGGATTGACTCTGCAGTCTAGTTATTCTCGAAGGCCGGCCTTTAGAATTAGGTTTAGCAAGTTCCTGTTTCGCCTTCTTAGCCGGTGGTTTGCTGTCGGGTGAGATGCTGGCGCGTGTGACAGAGTTCTCTGGTAATATGTTGACTAACTCATTGTCACTGGGGTGGTCAAATACGTCGCCAATCGGATCTATAATAGGTGTAGTTGGTGCGCTCGTGTTATTGTCTGACTGCGTCATGAACCTATCTCCTTCTAACTGATCAACAGTGTATGCGTCGCCATTGATGATCAGTTTGTTGCCGATTATTTTTGCCGAATATTGTTTCTCCTTCGCTGCTTTCCGGTGTTTTTGAAGGATTCTATTTGTTTCTCGATCTTTTGGGCATAGATCGTGTACAACGAATACAGCACTGTTTTTAAGTTTGTGTACGTTCTGGAAAACCTCCTGCTTTTTGAGGTATGAAACGAACTCAATTTTTATAGGACAGCTCCTACCTGACTTAATACTATAAATATTTTTAAGGTCTCCAGTGGATATATTTATTTTTAACAGTGCGTTTAATTTCTGAATTGCTGTACTTTGGAAGCTAGTGGTCCTTGTATCAACTTCTAAGCCAAACAGAAGTATGTTGTTTTTTCGTATCGCCCTTTCCAGCTGTAAATTTTCTTTCTCCAAATCCTTACACACTGTCTGTAAATGATCTATTTTTGTGTCTTGTTGTTTTATATGTTCCAGCAGATTCGCGTTTGTTCTTCTAATTTCTTGGATATCTTGTCTAATCTCATTCTTAATAGCATCACTTTCCTTTTTTATTATTGCTACCAATTCTGATAGCAGCTCGCTGTTACTCAAGTCGCCACCACTGGTCATTCCGACAAAAAATAATAGTACACAACAAGCGATTTGCGTTTTAGAGGAAACTGAGCCTTATGTGATCAGTGATCATTCGCACTAGTTCTCCAGTTATCAAATTTTATTCATAAATGATGACTTACTGCTTTAACCTTTTTGTATCACGTATGACATCCTTATGATTTGCATACACGGTCTCACAGGTAAATTTTGTCCACTAAAACTAGACTTTTTTAAGAGAACTGAAAACGCTACCATACACTTCGTACGCGAACCAATGTCACAGTCTGATATATCGTCTTATAGGTTAAAGGTTGATATGAAGGTTATTACGCACACATGTCCTGAAAAGTCTTGTTTTGAAGATACATGTTGTGGAAGTTTAAGAAAATCTACCATTTAACAGAGGAAATATGATAGCAAACTGCGGAAAATCAAAACATGTCCATGATAACAGAATAACATACACTAGTACCGCTCAAGGTTTACTTGACCCTATCTTAATAATTTTTCTACATGTTGTAAGTTGTTTTCATTTCTCGAAAACCGGGTCACATAGAAAAAGATATCAGGAAACAAAAAAGCTTTATCACTAGTTACTTAATCTGAAATTGGTGAGGACGCATTGCAAGCAGAAAAGACTTCGAAAATGGGAATTTATGTTTTTTTTTGATAATATATGACCGTCAGCCTGTTTGTCCGTCTGCCCGCTGCCTCTCTACAACCTACAAAGTACGGTTCAGACTTTGATGTTTGAAAAGTGGCAGAGCTTCATGCAAAAAGCGAAATAAATAAAAATTCGTTTTTCGACATTTTGCTTATTTTCAGAAAAATTTTGTGAGTCGGAAAATTGGGGGTTGGCAAAAGCCATTCTACTGTTGAGAATTTCTTGGCGTTGGCAATGCCGTGCATCTATCAGATAAATTAAAAGGTGATTGGGCACTACACGTCTCGAGTTTCGCTCCTAGCTTTTCGTGCTTCGACCGATTCACCACCCAAAGACGCCTGTCTATTGAATAACCTTGGTGGCAAAGGTTCAGGCAGGCTTGTAGCTCATATTTTACAACTTTTTGGTGGAAAATCCAATAGCCGTGTTACGAATATTTGACAAATTCCTTTTGCTTTATTGTAACGAAAGTAGATTTAGCGAATCAGCCTTCAGAAGAAGCTTGGTGTCAAGGAAGTCGATTATACAGGTTGCGCAAGGTAAGGATCCTATGCATGGGGATCTGAGTACCTGTGGGAGATACAGCTTAGGTTAAACCAACCAATGTAACTTTTTCATTGGCACTTTTCAGGTACTATATGATAAGCCTGAGGTATCGTCCTTCCATCATCAACTTTACTTTCCTATATTGTCGGAAGAAAGTACAATGTATCTGATAGCATCTTTTTCTACGAATTCAGTGATGCAATGATGCTTAATATAGTGATATTTATTTACAATAACCAATACATTTTCAACATTTTCTTTAATTTAGTCACAATATGTATTCAAATAGCTTGCTATTATTGTCTAGTCATAAACATGACCTTGTAATAGGGGAATTCCAAACATCACGTAACATTTTTGAGGTAATCGTAGTAAATGCTTCCATTAAACATTCTCGCAACTGCAGCTTAGTTTCAAAAGTACGCCGATAAACTTGGTTTTTAATAGAACCTAAAACTAAAAAGCCCAAAGGAGTTAAATCCGGGAACACGCCGGCGAGGACACTTCACTGGAGGTTCCAGTTCACCTTTTGAGAGATCGCTAAGTAAGATCCTCTCGAGCTTGCCTAGTATTATGTGCATGTGTGGTTGAAGCCAACAGGCAGTCATCTAGATCATGTTGCAACAATTGAAGGTACCGTTCTGCAGCTAGTGTGAGCTGTTGTAAATAAATGGAACTAATATTTTGGTCTCTAGAATTCCACACCATATATAAACTCAAAACGTTCTTGATAGACACTATTTTAGCTCGCAAGTTTTCTTGGGCCCAGTAGTGATTGTTGCGGCGATTCAATTTATTAATGATCATACTCGCGTCGGACCATATTATTTTTGAGGGGAAATTAAAATCTTGTTCACACATTCTTGATTACCACACGCATAAATGCTGGCGCCGTTTGCTATCCCCTGGTCTAAGTCCTTGGCAAATCCTGAATTTATTGGGTGATGTATTTTTACGCAAAGCAAGTCGGGCTGTGGATTTGGCTACGCCTACTTGTTCCTCAATTTGGCTAGTGGATATCTGTGTGCTTTCAGCAATTCCTTGTAAAACACTAGCAAGAGTTTCCTCTAGATATTCCTTTTTTCGAGACGTTACAAGTGAACCATATTTGTTTAACTTTTGAGCTAACTCGAGAAAATTCCCGGGGACAGTGATTTGGTTGGTGAAGCTAAGTTTCTGCGGGTTACCTTGGATCGAAGATTGCAATGGGGCCTTCACTTTGACAGTGTTGCTGGAAAGGCCACCAAAGGGATATATGTATAACGGAGTCCGTTCTCTTGTGTTTCTCTAGCCATATTGATAATGGCTTGCCTTGCCATTTTACATTCACTTAGATACTATGCCATTCTGGCTTGGGGGCATTCTTCGGGGGTCCATAGACTGTTCGCCTTGCAAATAAGGGCAGTTAGGGTTGTGGGTCGTTTGGGCTACAGGGCCTATTGCAGAGATACCTTTGTCAAGTTGGGAATCCTCACTGTGTCTTGTTTATATACTTTCGGAAATATACTGTTTGATAAAATAAACTCTAACTATGTTACTCATGAGGACGTCCGTGGGCACAATACTAGGCATATGAGCAATCTAGTACCTCTTTATCGGCGATTGAGAAGGTGTCAAGATGGACCTGGTTATTGGGAGGTCAAATTGTTTAATGTTCTTCCAGACGCCTTAAAATCGCTTCCGTTTAAATATTTCAAAGACCAAGTCAAGAACATTCTTACTAATAACTCATTTTGCACGTTTGAAAGGTCTTTAAGACATAAATTTTAACTATAAAATGTAATATGTTATCTTAGCGATATATCTTTATGAGTGCTGGTGTACCTATGTTTGTAATTTTTTGTTTTAATTCTAATGCAATTCTCATTTCAAATATTGACATGCGTAGACATCTTGTGGCATGAATGGAAGAATCTGAATTTGGATTGGAATTTTAAAAAGATGAACTTACTTGACTGCCTACTTTTGGAAAGTTTATGAAGATATATTTCTGCAGTATTTTTTGTATTTTTGTAGCACAAACTATAGCACGACAGCACGTTTGTTCATTGCTAAAATTACCGTAAGGCATCATTTACGATTACGACAATATTAGTAAGCCACAATACTAACAATAATCGGTGACAGGTATTTACGTCAAGTCAGGCATTTGTTTGCAACGACTACTCAAAAAAATTAAAGAAAAATAAAGTAAATGTAACATCTGATACATCAATATATTCTTATAAAAAATGTTAGTAGAAACAGGTTGTATTTTTCTTCGAACGATATAAAAAGAGAAAACGAATCGTCTGGCACTGATCCACATGCATAGGATCCTTATCTTAATCACCGTGTATACCTCACATAATTACGTTGATCGATTTCATTTACATATGAACTACTCTGGCATAAACTGAGCAATACTCTTGTAAGGTAGACAGTCAAACTTGTTGACATTAGTTTTTGGTAGATTCTCAACTATTAAAGTCCAGAATCTTGGAAACCACCCATTCAAGTTGAATGCAAATTTCAGGGGGTGATGAATGAGTTGAGTGGGGCAAATATGCAAAATTCTGTCTGCAAAAGTATCCCTAGACCCCACAGCCGAAAGTCAAACCCTTCCATATTACCGAAATACTTTTACAGGCTCAAAAGGAAATATGACTTGATTGTATTTAAATAAAATAAATAAATAATATTACATAAGTAGGTACAAACTATAAAAGTCAAAACACATTCAAAAGTCGTGATTGAAGCATAAGTCTACCGATAGAAACGGGTCTTCTGAAAATATCTTCTTTACAACTTTTATAAATACCGCCACCGTATTTATTTCTTTTACCTGGTCGTTTTAACAAGCATGAGGTTCGGCCCTCTCGATGTGAGAGCAAGCCTGTTTGCTGGAAGTTTCAAATTGAGGTTTGGATGCAAGATGTAGATTGTGATGTCAGTACCTCTCTAAACAAAGTTGTTAATGTTTTTCTCCACATAAACAATGCAACTCATTATAATTTGTGACCGAGCCGCAATAAACAAACACCCTGACATAGTCATTCAGATACACGTCTAGACAACGCTCAACTTCTAACAAAGCTTAGTTCATCGACCCCTTGTATATTAGTAGTAATATCACTCCTTTTCGGGTCATGATGAAGACAGTCACGGTACAAATCACAAATCTTCCACAAACAACTGTTATCCGAAGAAACTTAGGCTGCGAAACCAAAAGCATGAGAAGTTCTTAAGTTATCCAGACGTATATAATTTGAATAATCGTTGAAATCCAAGGCAGGAATCAGTGTTCAACAGGGTGCGAAAGGATCCAATCGGGCCAATTAGCTTTTCGCGGAGCTGGCTGATCTTGGAGGCGGAAATTTAAAGTTTTCACGTAAAATATGGTCACCCGTCAATATAAAAGTGTATGGGTTGCAAATAGTGATGCCACTCCTCGCCCGCTCTAGCTGAGTAGTTGATGTGGTCTACTTGTCTTTGCTCATCTACTACATAGAATCGTCGCCATCTAGCAATCACGTGGTGGCTGGGCATCCAATTCACGGGCTGAGACGCATGCAGTCCCAAATGGTAAGCTGCGTTTCAGTGTCTCGCATTGTTCGATTCTAGCGGTAGCTGGCGCATCGCACTGGCTTATTTTGCTGGATCACAGACTTTGTATAGTGTACTGCTGCTATGCTTTCGTTCGTTGTCCGAGAGACCACCAAGCACAGATCATGCTGACCATTTTATCACTTGTTGTTCAAGGCAAGATAAAGCGATATGTAAAAAAATCTTTAACTCTAATAAACATACGTGGTTGCTTACTTTTTTTGTCACCCAGTATACATGAAAAGTAAGTTGACCCCGGATCGCTGTTATCAGTTCGTGAAGGATAAAGTTCGGCACAGGTTAGCCCTACTGAGGCCAAAGTTAGCTACGAACCTGTATAACAAAAAATTAGATGACCTTCCTCCTCCCTCCCCTACAAAATCCAACCCGTACGTCCTCGAGTTCGTTCTGCGGGGCGGCCTTGGGCGCTGAACCGTGTGCGACCGTGTAGGGGGGGCAACGGGGTGCCGGTCTTGCGGTGGACCGCCTCGATTAGTTTTTGAGGAGACCCGCCGGAAAGCCGGTAGCCCGGCCAATCGAATGATTCGTTGAGCCACAGGTGTCTCGGATGTATATCTGGGACGCCTGCAGCTCAACGGTCATCATGGGCAATGGTACGTTACCCAACCCAAGGTGTTAAGCGATTCCGTGCCGAGGGGTGCGTGGCGGTGGGGATGCACCGTCTTAAACGGAGCCTCTGGGACACCGGGCGACCTCCCAGAGTATCCAGCCTTGCGTCCGTGTAGGGGCACCGCGGACGTCGATCACCACTTCCCCTATACTCGTGGGAACATTATGGAACCAAACGATAGAAAAAATAATAAAAAACCCGAGGCCCCCCCTACAGGGGACCCCGAACATCCAGGCGACCCCTCACCAGGGGACCCTGATCGTACTCTGACAGAGGAATCTGTCAGAAGCTTAGCGAGAGAGCTAGCGGAAAGGGTGGGCTCTCTAAAGATTAAGAAGAAGTCTCGGCCAGGTTCCGAAAGGAAAAGGGCTCGGAAGCGGAGAGAGGCGCAGATGACGGAGGGCTCGGAAGGTCGGGGCACCACTTCTGGGACCCCGGCTGGACGGACCCAACCGCCATCTGGGCTAGACGGTGCGCAATCCGGTGTGTCAGCGGAGACCCTAAAGCGGCCCGGTGACGGGAAGCGGCAGAGGTCTGCCGGTGGGACACCGGAGGGCGCATCCTCGCGGAAGAAGCCTCGCACTGCGACGCATGCGCAAATTAGTTATGCGCGAGCGTCCCAAGCGGGTCTCAGGGTGGCCGTCGTGTCCGACGGTTATCCTGGGACTCAACTTACTAATGTACAGGTGCAGCAGGTCCAGGAGGCGGTCAGTGTGCTGATAGATGGGATCCCAGATGAGGTGACCCTTCCCAGGTACATTGACTGCTACCTCTCTCGAGGGGCAGCCATCTTTGTCTGCGAGGACGAATCCTCTAGGGCATGGTTGGAGGCCCACGTGGGGGATCTGCGGCCGTGGGAAGGCGCAAGGCTCATTACGATGAGCTTTGGAGACCTTCCCATATACCACCGCGTGATGGCCTGGTTTCCGGGTCCCAACCTGGACAACGGGGTCATCACGAGGAGACTCAGGAGGCACAATCCTGGGACTTTTCCCAGCGCGTGGAGGATACTTGAGAGGAAGGAAGAGCCGATAGGTGTCCGACTTGTCCTCTCAGTTGATTCCATAAGCTGGAAGGTCATTGTAGGTAACGGCAACAGGCTGTGTTGCGGTGGAAGTTCGGGGGTGTTTACACTCCTGAGCAAGAAGAAGAGCAGTGGAGCGACACCTGCTGGAACTGGCCTGGCTCCAAACCAGGAGTCGGACCAGCCCAGACCGACGGGAGCTGTGGCGGTAGACCAGGCTCCTTCACAGGGGATGGGTCGGCCGGGTCAGCTCTCGCTGGAGCCACCGGAGGCTACGGACGTGGAGGCGGCGGGTCCAAGCGGGATATCCGCAGAAAACATCGTGGCGGACCCTGCGATGGATCCGGTCCCAGAGGAAAACGATAGCGACTCGGACGAGGATGGAATCCTGAATCGAGTCCGAGAACTCCTCCGTGGAAGCGGAGATGAAGGCGGCTGTGGCAGCGATGACTGCGGCGGCGACGGCGGTACGCCCGAATAGGGGTTACATACCGTCATTCGGGAAGGTGTAGGAAGGGCCTCTCAACATCCATGGTAAGTTTTAATTTCATCCAAATTAACTTACAACACTGCATAGCGGCTTCGAGGGCCCTTACTCAGGAGATCACTCGAGGCCGACATGACGTGGCTCTCATCCAGGAACCCTGGCTGAGAAACGGTTCAGTAAACGGGCTTAGTATACCAGGCTATACGCTTTTTAGCGATACTCCGGACACTAAGCCCAGAGCTTGCGTAATGACTTCCGTCAACTCATGGCAACTTAAAGAATTTACATTCAGAGACTTAGTTGCAGTCAGAATTAGATATAAGAAGGAAGGCAGTGACAGGGACTTGGTTGTCTGTTCGGCTTACCTTCCTTACGATTCAAGAGACCCTCCTCCGTCTAAGGAAATGGGGGACCTTGTCGCATTCTGTAGGATTCTGGACTCGACCTTGTGATTGGATGCGACAGTAATGCCCATCACGTTGCGTGGGGCAGCTCGAACACCAACAGACGAGGCGAAGACCTGATGGAGTTTCTTGGGGCATCGAACCTTGAGGTTCTGAATGTCGGTAACATGCCCACTTTCAGCAATAGTGTAAGAGAAGAGGTTATCGACGTAACACTGAGCACGCTTAACTTAGCTCAGGACATCAGGGACTGGAAAGTGTCTCTAACACCCTCTCTATCGGATCACAGGTATATACTGTTCAAGACTGATGGAGAGATTCCGGATAAATATGCTCGGAATCCCAGGCATACTAGATGGGGGTCCTTTAGGGCAGACATTGACAGTAAGCTTGGAGCGGTCCCATACAGGCTTGGCAGGGGCTCTGACATAGAAGCAGCTGTCGAGTCTCTGAGCAGGGACTTGACGGCCGCATATGAGGAAAACTGCCCGTTACGCAAAGTACAAGGTAAGGGCAAGGCAACCTTCTGGACCAAAGATTTAGAGGATAGAAAACGAGCGGTGCACAAACTTCTTAGCAGAGTTAAGCACAGGAGAGGTTCTCCTCTATGGGAAGAATACAAAAAGGCATTGCAGGAGTACAAAAAGGAGATTAGAAGGGCCTCCAGAGAATCCTGGAGGCACTTCTGTCAGTCCATAAATGACATTCCTGCTACTGCAAGAATACACAGAGTCCTATGCAAAGACACTAAAGCAAGATTGGGATCTCTGCATGATCCCTCGGGAGGGAACACTACTTCCGAGGAAGATACTCTGAGGCTTCTGATGGATACGCACTTTCCCGGTTCCACAGTAGCGCGATCAATCACAGAGTGCATGCAGTTGCGCAGGCCCTCAAGGGAGGACTGGCGCACGGCAAGGGAGATTGTCACCTTCGAAAGGACGGTATGGGCAGTAGATTCGTTTGCCCCATACAAAAGTCCAGGTCTGGACGGCGTATTTCCGGCCATGTTACAGCAGGGACGGATTTCGGTTGTTCCTTACCTGTTGAATGTGTTTCGAGCATGTGTGGCCACGGGCTTCACACCTAGAAGTTGGCGGCAGGCTAAAGTGGTATTCATTCCTAAACCGGGCAGAGATAGATATACTGGCCCGAAGGATTTTCGACCGATTACTCTTTCATCTTTTGTGCTTAAGACCCTGGAAAGGATAGTTGATAGATACCTAAGGGATGGCCCACTGGAAAGGTGTGTCATTCATGCAAATCAGTTTGCATACCAAGCTGGAAAATCGACTGATCTGGCCTTACACAATCTGGTTGGGAGGCTGGAGAAGACTCTAGATCAGCGAGAAGTGGCACTCGTGGCCTTCTTAGATATTGAAGGTGCATTTAATTGCACCACAACCGACTCTATCAGACAGGCCTTGGTTAGACACGGGGTTGGATCAATCCTAATAGATTGGGTCCTCTCTACTCTGGAGGGTCGGGTAACAACAGCTATGCTGAATAATGTAAGCTGCAGCGTGAACGTAGCTAGAGGCTGCCCTCAGGGTGGAGTTCTGTCACCCCTACTGTGGTGTATCGTGGTGAACGAACTGCTCGTTAGGCTCAACAGTATGGGTGTCTACGTGCAAGCCTATGCTGATGACGTAAGCATAGTGGTTAGGGGGCGTTTCTGTAGAACAGTCTCGGAAATTATGCAGGGCGCTCTGCGCTCCGTGGAATCGTGGTGTAGGGAAGTCGATCTTTCTGTTAATGCTGAAAAGACCGAGCTGATCCTATTCACTAGGAGAAGAAGGCTTGACGGACTGGTCATGCCTACCTTCTTTGGGACTAGATTAGTTTTGTCCCAGTCAGTGAAATATCTGGGAATTATCCTGGACTGCAAACTGAACTGGAGAGAGCATGTGGAACACAAGGTTAGCAAGGCTCGCAATTCGATGTGGGCTTGTAGACGTGTTGTCGGTGTAAGGTGGGGGCTTAAACCCAAAGTGGTATACTGGCTCTACACGACGATAGTACGTCCATCTCTCTTGTACGGCTCCCTGGTCTGGTGGCCTTGCATTAGAACTGAGTCAACTAAGGCCAAACTCAATAAAATTCAGCGTTTGGCCTGTATTAGCATTACAAGCGCAGTGCGAACAACGCCATTGAGTGCAATGGAAGCTCTGTTGGATCTCCCACCGTTGGATCTGGTGATCCGCGGTGAAGCGAGAGTAGTCGCTCATCGACTGTGGAGTCAGGGCAGCTGGGCTTTCTTGAATCCGGTCAAGGGGCATACTGCCATATTAGTCGAATTAGAAAGGGAGGACCCCGTCCTTCTAAGCAGGGGTGATCGTATTACCCCTAAATATCGCTTCAACCGCAAGTTCATTGTGGAGTACCCAACGAGGGAGGAGTGGGACGCCGGTAGCCGAGGACTCTCCGAAGTGAGCGGGCAGGTCTGGTACACGGACGGCTCGGTCACCGAAGAGGGCTCAGGTGCTGGGGTCTCTGGACCTAGAACTAGGCTATCTCTGCCTCTCGGTGAGTACACCACCATTTTCCAGGCGGAAATCTTTGCGATTCTGGCTTGTGTATCTCACATTCTGGAGGAGGGTGGGCCTAGGAGAAGAATAACAATCTTATCCGACAGCCAGGCTGCAATGAAAGCACTAAGTGCATGTAAGATTACTTCGAGTCTTGTATTGCAATGCAGGGAGGCTCTGGATTGCCTCGCAGCGAGGCATCCGGTATCGTTAATATGGGTACCGGGGCACGCTGGGATAAGGGGCAATGAGACGGCGGACACTCTGGCGAAAACAGGATCAGCCAGCAAGCTCGTTGGTCCTGAGCCAGCTCTAGGAGTAACCGCGCATAAAGCTAGGAGGAAAATGGAGACGTGGGTTGCAAGACAACACTCTCAGAAATGGAGAAGTATCTCTAGACATCTCCGCCAGGCACGAGAGCTCATTGAAGGGCCCAGTGCTAAGGATGGACGCTTCTGCCTATCTCTGGGTAGAGCCAACCTAAGGTTGCTGGTGGGACTGTTGTCTGGCCATAACACGTTAAGGCGGCACCTGCACGTGATGGGGGTGGCTGAGGATCCCTTATGCGAACGCTGCGGAGTAGAGGAAGAGACTTCGGCGCACGTTTTGTGTCGCTGTGAAGCTCTGAGCTACTATAGGCAGACTATACTGGGGTCCATTACTTTGGACCCTCAGGACGTAAAGGAGCTTGGACTCAAGGCGATTCTCAACTTCGCTAAAAGGGCGAGGCTTGTGATTTAAGTATTGTAGAGGTGCATAAGGGCCCGCTTAAGCGGCCTATGCACTGGCTCCTTATGGTGGCCGGGATGCCTCTAAAATTCAAGATTCATTCATTCATTCCTCCTCCCTCTGCGAGAAACAGATACACGTCTAGACAACGCTCAACTTCTTACAAAGTTTAGGATCAACGACCCCTTGTATATTAGTAGTAATATCATTCGTTTTCGGTTCGTGATGAAGACAGTCACAGTTTTTTTAATTTAATTATATGACCTTCCTCCTCCCACTGAGAGACACCTCTGCGGGCTCACATGATCGTTGCTGTGACTAATCCCGCGTGGATGACGATATTGACTTTTACAGCAGACAGCCCACAGCAGCACGAAAGCGACTGCCGGTCTACTATACTAAATATTCAAAAATTATCTGAACTGCTCAATCTTAGGAAATCCAAACATGAAAGATTTTTCCACGAGTGACCTTACTGCTCGTAGTCTATAACTTTGTCGATATAGCATCGCGATTTTCACGACTAGGAAACACTCTCCGCCTTCTCATTTCTCCGTTAAATTAGCTGGAGGTCTGAGACAGGCGCTCAGCTATTAAATTCGGAGCGCTATCACCTATCAGCACCTCGATCCTTCATTTTAAGGAACTGTTCACGTTTTATATTGGTACGCATCGCATCTTGATGAATATATTATATCGATTTGGTTACAATTCTGTCTAGTGGAGTTGCTGACCTCCCTTAATGGAAGATGTAATGCGCCAGAAAGGCTTGGCGAAGTAGGTGAATCGTTTACTGTTTTCACACTCATATAGAAGCAATCAGTCTGCTCAATATTATTGTATTCTTAACAGGTTGACTGCCAGGAAAAAAATTAAAAATATCATCTGGTGCCAAGTTGAAAATAATACGCCTGATAGTATTCTGTAAGCATGCTAGTAACTTATTCCTCCCAATTTTTCAAAATGCAATGAAAATTTTGCAAAATGGTTTAACGGTCTTATAAGCCCGCTCGGGCATGGACGGCATATATATATGCCCTCCATGCCCGAGCGGTCGTATGAGCGGTCGTTTCTTGCGAGTTTGAACTCGTCTCTACGTTATGTTACAGTCGGGATTAGCAAGCGCGCACACTCATTTAGGGTTAGGATGCATAGAACGCTGAACGCAACAAGCAGCATAGTGAGTGCATTAGTTTTCAAACTCTAAAAATGAGTAGCCGATCTAAAAAAATTGTAGAATTGGCCCTTCAGACGGAGGAGCATACAGGTAAGATTTTATATGAATATAGAATTACATTCTACGCAATATTGTTGCAAATTTAGTGGTTTTTGCTAGTAAATCGTAGTAAGTTCAGTTCATTTATTTACAGATGATGAAAGCGATTCGGATCCTTTCAGTGCAGTTGATTCCGATTTGGATCCTATGTTTCTGCCATCTAGTAATGACGAACTATCTGATAGCTCTGACATATCTCTTACGGAAATAATAGGACAGAAAAAGAAATTTACAAAAACGACAGGGGAAAGACCAGAACAAGTATACAATTTTGAGAATCAACCGTGCTGTTCAAAATCACTTCCAGTGGCCGAATTTCAAGAAGCTGGGGTACAAAATGAAGACGGGACACATAATCTCAATGTTTCATCGACTGAAACTGGAGACAATCTTGAAAACGTGTTAGATGAGGAAGAAGCTGCTGACCAGAATGAACACACTTGGAGAGAGCCTGTGGGCAATCACCAAGTGTTTGATTATTCTGCCGAAAGCGGTTTACACGCAGGTTATGCTGCAGTTCTTATCAACAATTTATCTCCATACAGCTGCTTTCGTTATTTTGTCGATGATGAAATCATAAATGAAATGGTAAATCAGACCAATCTATATGCAACCCAAGTTTTGTTCGAAGCTGAGGATGTGAGTAGAGAATCAAGGTTACATCGTTGGGTTCCAACCGATAAAGGTGAGATGCTAAAATTTATTGGCATTGTAGCATACATGGGCATGGTTAGGATGCCATCATTAGAAAAGTATTGGAGTACTGACGAACTTTTCCAGATATCTATTATTCCAAAAGTTATGTCAAGAAATAGATTCCAGCTGCTCTTACGAATGTGACACTTCTCTGATAATAACGACTGTCCAGAGGGTGATCGTTTGCATAAAATCAAACCTTTATTGGATGCGTTGGTGAAGAAATTTCAAGAAATTTATACACCTGGTAGAACATTTTGCATTGACGAGTCTGTTGTTCCTTTTCAAGGCCGTCTCCTATTCAAACAATACATTCCAAACAAGACGCATAAATATGGCGTGAAATTGTTCAAACTGTGTAGCGATAATGGATACACATGGAATATAAGAATATATGCTGGCAAAGAAAAACAAGAGAGAGATGCGTCTGTGGGAACAAATATTGTGCTTAAGTTGTCACAAGACTTACTTGATACAGGTAGAACTATTGTTGCCGATAATTACTACACCAGTCTCGAGCTAGCGAATATACTTCTTGACCATAAGACACATTATATTGGTACACTAAGAGCAAATCGGCGAGGCAATCCAAAAGAAGTTATTCTGAAAAAACTAAAGAAAGGCGAAATTTTTGGGCTAGAAAATGGCAGAGGTGTGTGTGTGCTGAAGTGGAAGGACAAGAGAGATGTCCTTCTATCCACTAAGCATACCACCGAAACCGTAGATGTTCAACGACGTACTGGTATTGTCAAAAAGCCACGAGCAGTGATGGAATACAATGAAGCCAAGTCGTCGATTGACCAATCTGACCAGATGGCAAGCTACCATTCACCTGTAAGGAAGTCTCTAAAGTGGTATCGAAAACTTGCCATTGAGTTCCTCTTGGGCACAGCGCTTGTAAATGCACACATAGTTTATAATCTGCTAGCAAACAAAAAATTGAAGATTCCAGAATTTAGAGAAGAAGTAATTAGGTCTCTTTTTACGGATCACGGCGATGCAGGGGAACTTGATGTACGTCAGGAAAAAATAACCAAGAAGACAGCCAAAATCCATACATTGTGCAGGAAAGAAGGTCAATTTGACAAAGTGAGAAAGTACTGTAAAGGGTGTTATGCCAAGAAATTGCGAGGAGAAATAACTAAAAACTGCGTGAAGAAAGTTGTAACTTTCTGTGGAGTGTGTGACGATCAGCCACATTTTTGTCTGAACTGTTTCAATACCACTCATGCAAAGTAAAATGAACCGTTATTTTGTTTATACAAGTGAATCTAAGCTTTTTTGCCCTATGTCTGTTACATTTTGTAGTGTGATTTGAGTTTGAACAATAAAAATGCATATGACAAATCTGGGTAACTTTTTTCATCAAATCAAACAGATATACATGAATTCGGATCAATACCCTAGGCCCGTATGCCATAGCGGTCGAATTGCTCGCTTATACTGATTCTGAGTTCGACCGCTGGCACGCAGAGAATATAAACGTAGCACCGTACGATAGCGGTCGTATACGACCGCCGTGGCAGAATAGGATACATATTGAGCGGTCGTCCGCGCCCGCCGTGGCAGTCAACCTGTTAATATCACACTACAGAAAGCATCAATGTCCAAGCTCAAGACATGCAACTCCTAGTATTATTGTAGAGGTGTGGGATGGGTAACCTTGCAGCTGTGCTACATTTGACATTTTTCTTACTAGATTCAACTACATCACCAGTATCAAAACCAGGTGTAGATTTTGGATGGAAGTCACAAATATCCGACCTGTGTGTTTAAATGTATTCTGCACCGTCAGAATTTTAGCCGAAAGGTTGGGCGACTCTACTTTTCTTTAGTAGCCACACCTTCCCAGATACGACCTTCTTAGTCCGACAGTGTCTTATCTACCCAGCTAACTAAAATGGTATAAGGTTGGAGTTTGGTCAGAGCCAGTGCGAGAGTCCTTGGTACTCATATCGTACCAGGTGGTCAATTTCTCCCACAATATGGTCACAAGAGCTATACCTTGAAGGTCTGCATTGTACTCCTAAACCAGCATATTTAGGGTGGGCCATCTACTGTTTGAAATTTGAAGCAACAGTTATGTTGTCATCAAAAGATGAAGTCTCGTCCATGACGTGTGAGAAAATTTTGCGATTAACATTTAGAAAACGGGACCATCTCATACATTTTCACCTGCAGACATTCGTCAGAAAATTTCAGCAAACAAAAATGTCATCCTGCTGACATCCGCAGGGCCACGAATTTTGGTCATGGCTCAAGAAATGCTCGTCATGAATTCTGCAATCAGCACTGGATCAACTTTTTGGCGGGGATGCTTGACTCAAGTATTGCTCTCTGGAAAGTTGCAAAGCCGCGGCCTGAGGAGAAGGTCAATCGAGGTTTTCGCTGATGCTATGGAAAGACAGTTCCCTCCCAACTATGATCTTGATAATGCTCTCGACGAGGAGTAACAAGATCTGTCAGAAGATATTTGCCCTCAGAGGAGTCGTATTCCGAAGGGTTGCATAGCACTTCAGCGGAATCCCCCGAGATCCCGCATTGCACACCTGCAGAGCTCCAAGGTTATAAAATAAACCTCTGTGCACCTGTGGAGGATCAAATCACTAATACGGCGCTAAAGCTGCTTTGGCGGAAATCGTCATCTCGTAGCTATAATCAGTTCCAGTACCTCCCAGGCGTGGAAGACCGCTTACATTATGATCATTCCAAAGAAGTTCAGTTCGATATTTCCTGTTAGCATGCTTCCAAATCATTCTCAGCTAACTGGAAAGTTGATTTTACGTCGAATTTTCATCGGATCACCATCTGATTCCAGACGTTCAAATTAGCATCCGATCTGAGCATAGTACGGAGTTACACGCGATTAGGCATGTGAAGCAAGCAACCAGGGGCTTCACCGTTGATGGAAGAACTGGTATCTTGCTTCTGGAAGTCTCGAAGGCATTTCACAAGGTGTAGTATAGGAGCCCCCTCTGTAAATTTATCCACAAGGGCTTCTCATTCGAGTTCCCAAATCTTCCAACGTTTTTCCTTGAAAGCAGCTAATTTCGGATCAAAATTAATAATGTTCTGTAGACAAGACGGCCCCATCAGAGCCCCTCAAGGTTCGATTATTTAACCGATTTTTTATTAACTTTTCATTCATGGTGTCCCTGGTCCCAGCAACGGTGAAGGTTATCTTTATGCTGATGAGACTGCCATGGTGGTCCCGTCGTGTTCTGGGAACCTGGTTATCGATGGGCTGTAAAGTGCGACGGACGGATATTGTAATGGGCGGATTGGTTGCTGACCAAAATTAATAATTCGGAAACGCAGGCTATCTATTGTACTAAATAAAGGAGGTTCGTGTACCAATGGAAAATTCTGCCAAGTATCTTGGTATCAATCTTGATAAGGGAATGACTAGCCAGAAGTACACTGAAGCATTAAAAGCCAAATTCCAAATTACATTTCGGCAACCCAACCCTATGCTATGTAGATTCTCATATTTAAGTTTGATCAACAAAGTTCCGCTATGATGGTTATTAGACAAGCGATCACTTTCGCAGTGCGACTTGGTGGGTTTCGCCAAACTGCATTTCTGCAGTCTGCAGCTTTTGCAGAACAGAACCTAGTGATCAATCACTAGCGCCCGCAATGTGTCTCCAATGAGATTCTTCACGGAGACCTTGATATCCCATACCTAAGTAACTATATTAAAAAACAAGCACAGCTACCTTATAGTCAAGTGGAATCGCAAAGAAATCGTTTGTTGCGTGAGTAGATTACATAGTCGAGCAGGTTCGCAAGCACACAAGATCCCGGCTTGTGCTGTGAACAAAATTAAATCGTGCGGTTTCGGGTCCAACCAAAATTACAATTTTTCGACAACAACCAATCTCTAAATGAAATTTAGGATCAATTTCACATTCCCGAATACTAGTTAAAAATGCCAAGGCGCCCCTGCGACTGGCGCACTTTGCTCTCCCTTTCAGTCTTCTTCCCGTCCTTCTCCCTGACTTTGTCTGGTATCTGGGCAACCAAACTCGACAGACCTACTGACTTACGATACTTTAACAGAAAGCAAAGGTCCTTAGGACCGCTCTGATAGATAATGGCTAATACAAAAGGAATGTTTTTGATTCGTTCTGTGTGCTGAAAATCGCTTATCCGGAGATGAGCATTTTTACCTCAAAACAGCTGCATTTGGAGATCAGAGAATCCACACTTACAATTAGTCGAGAAGAAGACATGCATTCACAGTGACCGGTTGGCGCGGTTTTCGGTCCGATGGTACCAATGTGTCATTTTTCTCAGAAAATGAGCAAGGAGCTGCCGTTTCAGTCAATAACGACCAAAAGTCAAGGACAATGACACGCAACGAAATTTGGTTTCAACAGAATGGCGCATGTTGCCATAAAGCTAACGTAACAATGACTTCTGTTTATACTTTTCGAAGACCGAATGATGGGCCGAAATTCTGGCCGCCTCGGAGCTGCAATTTGAACCCCTTGGACTATTTATATCGTTAAATGTAATGCTAACAATCTAGTCGTTCTAGTGCTTAGGTCCAAACAAAAAAAGGCTTGGAAACAGGGTCTGTCGGGCCAAATATGGCAGTCATTTGAGTGATATTGTGTTTCGTTTTTAACTGACAACATTTTCACTGAAAACCGACATCTTCAGTAGAACCAAAAAATTATAAAAATTCAGATGGCCCTATGCCATTGAATATGCTGCTGGAATTCTATATATTTCTGCCTAGAAGGTCGTAGAGTGTAGATTTCTAGAACAAGAGTTTCACCTAATCCCCGACACTACATAGACATATTCCACCCCCATTTCCTTATGGAGCTTCTAAACGGGCAACATTTTTACTGCATTAGCATTAGAGTAGCCAGCAACGGATGGCGATTCCTTCAGTATGACCCAGCTATACAGGGTGTCCTCAAAGTTGGTACTTTCCTGTACAGGGCGTATAGATCACGATTCCGTCCTAACATACATATACAGGGTCTTTCAGTTTATTGTTGCATAACTTTAAGATTCGATAGAACTTTTGAAATTAATGCATAAAGTCTATATAAACATGGGTCGAAAAATGCGTGGCTTCCGAAATACAGGGTGTTAAGATTTACTTTCTAAAATAGTTTTTTTTTAAATATTTCGAACAGTATTTGATGTATAACAGTGAAAATTGGCATACAAGGGTTTTTTGGTACGACAAAACGAATAGTCTTACTGTAGCCTCTAGAGGGCGCTCTCTACTGTACCTGTAGTGTATTAAAATGACCGAAATTTTTTTCTTAGTGCAATTTTTTGCTTTTTGAATAAAAAAACTGATTCTTCGCACTTTTCAACATAAAAAATCTCTCCTGTCAGTTTTCGTTATAGTTTGCCGTTTTTGAAATATTGCGATTTTTAAGGTTTGATGCATTTTTAATTATTTATGGAAAAATAATATTTTTTTTTACATTTTCGATTTGGGCATTACAAGTAATTAAGATGATCGTTTAGATTGTGTTTTTAAACACAGCAATAATTCCTAACTCCAAATAAAAACAGAATATTAATTTGTTTAATTTTCCAATATTATTTTTAACAAACTAAATTAAGTATTTACAACTAAAATGCTATTGGATAGTTAGGACAAACATACAAAATCTAAAGTAGTTGCTCGAAATGTAAACCCAATTGTTCAATACACAATTCACATCTACGAATGATCGAACGTGGTATAGCATTATTCAAATAAGGCCTTATTTCATCACATGCATTCCTGATTCTGTCTACTAGCATATCTCTTGTGGTTACGGGAGTCTGGTACACTTTTTCTTTTAGAAATCCCCACACAAAGAAATCTAATGGATTTAGGTCAGGGGATCGTGGAGACCAGGCGACTGGTCCTCCACGGCCGATCCCTCTTTCTGGATAATTTTTTTCCAGCCAGTTTCTAACTATTCTCGAATAATGAGCTGGACAACCATCAAGCTGGAACCAGGCCAATCTTCTCAAATCTAACATAACATCATCCCACATATTTGCATGTTCAGCCTTTAAAAATTCCAAGAAGGTCGCAGCATTTAACCTTGCAGGCAAAAGGTGGGGTCCAAATGGTCGATTACGGTAGATACCAATCCACACGTTCACGCTAAATTCATGCTGAAAATTTCTTTCCCGAACTGCATGCGGATTTTAATGAGACCAAATATGTTGATTATGAAAATTTACCACTCCACGTCTAGTGAAGCATGACC